GGCCTCAATCCCCTTTTGAGTTATACTTTCTTTCCCCAACAAGATACACCCATCCAGAACCATATTCCAATCATGGCTTTTATCCTACCAATTGTTAATGGTACTTATGAAGTTACATTGCCTCTTTAGGACTTCTAGTTCATCTTATTTATTATCTAAGCTTTGGGTATTTGTATGTAGACATCCAAGGCCATGGATTTTATTATTGGCTCTTTTCTTAGAATTTATCTTCAGTGAGCTTCTTAATTATATACTATTTTATGTTGTTTGCTTCTTTATGTATGTTAACCTCGTTTCACCAATTGGGTCTTAAGTTCCTTAAGTGTACTTTTGTATTCCACATTCAGCTCAGCAAAGTGCTAACTTAGCACACAGTGGGTACATAATGCACATTTGTGTGTAGTGTTATTCGAGGTGGATCATGGTTGAGAAGTTTTGCAAGCAGCCATTCTGGCTCTGCCATTTTAATCATATGCCATAACCTGGGTTAAAAAGGAACAGACTTGAGGGCAGTGAGGTGGCACAGTGGATAGAACTCTGGCCCTGAGGTCAGGAGGACCTGAGTTCAAATCTGGCCTCAGACCAAACACTTGACACTTACTAGCTGTGTGACCCTGGGCAGGTCACTTAATCCCAATTGCCTTAAGAAAAAAAGAACAGATTGGGCCACCCTTCCCTTAGATCATTTTGATGTTCCTGGCTCCTAATCTTCTCCTTGATTTAAAGTCTTCATCACTACACAGCTTTATTCTTTGTTTGTCTCACCTAATGTGAATCCTGAAACTCAGCTAACAATAGGTAGTCAATGGTAAGTATTATGAATCACAGTATACTAATTTTATTCCAGGAATTAATGCAAGACAGCACTTAATCAGGTTTTTTTTTTTGTTTATTTGCTTTTTGGTGGGGACTTGCATTGTGGGTACTACCATTCCTTAGGGAAACTCTAATATTCTGAGTACTCACCAAACTAGCACAAAGAAATGCACATTTCTGAATGAGCATTGTATTCCTAAAGACCAGAAATTCCAAGAACATTTGTGGGCCAACTGGTATGTTTGCTTCACTACCTCAGTCCGTTGGCTTCAATGAATTAAATAACAAAGCATCTCTTCTTTTCCCCTCTCCCTTTTCCCCTCTTCCCCTTCATTCTAATCTGCTAGCCAATCATTTCCTGCATCTTCTTTCCTCCTTGATCCTTGATCCCTCCCCCTGTTTTGAGATAGGATAGAGGCCTTTTGAGCATATGGGGGTCTTGTCATTAGGATAGGGTTAAGCCCTTAACTTTCCGTGGGTACATTTTTTTTAAAGGAGGCATGTTAGATTGAAACCAATAAATTAGCATTTATTAATGCTGCCTATTAATTATGCATAGTGATTTTGGCTAAAACTAAGACAAGGAAGAAAACGAGGGAGAAGACAGGAAAAGAGAGGATGCACTAGGGGTATGGTTAGGTGGAGGAATGGGGAGTATGTACGTGTAGTATGTGCATATATTTTAGGGAACAGTCTAGAAGTATATAACATTCCATGAGTACTACCTCTGAGTTAAATTGGGTTTCATGGTGTGCATTGATCTTCTTTCTCTGTGAGACTCACACTGAGAGTGGTGAATAAAGCTGCATGTCAAATGTTTATCACATTATGAAGCATATAAACTCTGTTTCTCCCCAGGCCATGTTAAAAGAGTTGAAGGTGTTTGTAGCCTTAGCTTACTCTCTTCACTTCTCATCATCTGCCTTCTAATATTTTCTCTTGTGCCTTTTGACTCTTCTTTTCTGAATTAGGCTTCCTCCACTATTCTGGATGAAGAAATAGCATCTAGAAGAGGATGATCAAAGGCTTCTGGGAAGTCAAGAAAGATGAGGATTGAGAAAAGACTACTAGATTTGTCATTAAGAGATCATTGATGACTTTGCAGAGAACAGTTTAAGTGAAATGATGAAGTTGGAAACCAGATTGCAGAGGATTTTGGAGAGTGAATGAAAGCAGTGGAAGGGACCACTGGAAATGGTTTCCTCAAGGAATTCAGCTAAGAAGGAGACGGGAGATATAGGACAATAGCTGGGAGGGATGGTAGGATTAAATTAGTTAGATTTTTTGTTTTGTTTTGTTTTGTTTTTTGGATAGGAGAGACATAGACATGTTTGCAGAAAACAGGGAAGAAACAAGCAGATAGGGAGAATTTGACCTTTAGAAAGTGAGTGGCTATGATAGAGGGCTCAGTCTGCCAGAGGAGACAGAATTGGATGGGATCAAAGATACTTTGAGAGGAGTTTTCAAGGAAAAGAGTCATCTCTTCATGAAAACTGGGAGTGAAGGAAGAAACACTGGGGAAAGATGTTTAAATGATGAGATGAGAAGAAGGAGGAGAGAAGAGAGAGATCTTGGGAAATAGCCTCAATTTTTGCAGTCAAGTGTGAGGTAAGGTAAGAAAATTTGGGAGGAGGTGCCATGGGAGGCTTGAGGGAGGATGAAAAAGTTAGGAATAGCTATTGTGGTGTGTGGAAAAGCGAATTATTCAGGGTGGTGTAAAAGAATTGACTAGATGCAGTAAGGTCCAGTTGAGATTATATTACAAATTAGTTAGACCCACTCATAATAATGACTTTGAAAGGTAAAGAAACTTATGCAAGTCTTCTATATAAACAATTCACAAGATTCAGACCTACCAACATACAAACCTACCAAGGCATGGCTCCTTTGTTATTCAGGTTCAGGATGATCTTGTCGGTGGAGGAGCCTTCAATTCCATGGAATTCTGTAATCGTAAGAGGTGGGTTCTGCTGGGCAGCTAGCATGTACTCAGGGACCTGGGAACTCTCAATCTCATAAAGTAGCTGCCAAGGCTGGAAACACTCATTATTTAGCATCATTGCATGCAGGTCACATACCTGTGGCTAAGATAAGAAAGATAAAGGCAGCTGGTGATTCAGCTTTTCCTAGATAAGAACACATTCTGGGTACCATGTGTTTGTAGCTAGTATATCTGCTCCTAGGAGGGAAGGTGAGAAATCTTCCCTCTCCTCTGCAAGTCCAAGGGAGAGCTGGCATATTCCCAAAATGGCATACTCAGAAGAAAATGGAAATCTTTCTTCTCAATCCTTCATAACCTGCTGAATCAGTGGTAATTCCTGGCTCAGTTGCTAATCACCTTCTATGGCTCCCCCCTGGTCATAGGAGCCAAGTGACCAGAAGTTGCTGGATCATCCATGTCCTTTATTAAAGAGCAGGAGGATATGTCCTTGAAAAGGGAAGGAAATGTGTGCTCAGTTTCCTAAGAAGTGGGCCAAACCAACCCAGATACAATATGTTAAATAAAAGTGGTTAAAGTGGACACTGTAGTACTTGGTATTGTTTTCAGTAGGCATGCTTTTAATTGAACCATCAATTTCAAGAGAGAGAGGGAATAGGCTCTTGAGAGACTGGAAATTTAGCTGTCATCCTTCAGTTACCTATTATAACTGGAGAGAGATCGAGAGGATGAAGAGAAAGGACTAAGAAAGTTGTTTTAAGACTCCATTCAAAGAACTATTACAAAGGGAATTCTTAAGAAGATTTTAAAGTTTGTGTCCTTAGAGAGCTGAATGTTGAAATCATTTCCAAAATTGGGAAGTCAACAGTAGTAGTCATGTGTGGAGGTGACTCTGGCTAGAATTTATTTCACAGCTGATTCATTAAAATTATTAATGCTTTCCTTTTCAATGCAGACTCATGCCCCCTAGATTTAGATATTTGAGAGGCAACAGGTAACCATGTCTAAGATAATACTCTTCTAGAAACTAGAAGAAGGACTGCTCACTTTCAGCAGATTTGGACCTTGCCAGCTCTTCCCACCCCTCCAGCTACTGAACATAGTGCAAATGTGGCCTTTCTCCTAATAATCAAAGGCACAGGCTAGGTTTCTCTTTCATTCTCTAAGTTGGGTTGCCTTCCTCTGGACACTCTCCAGCTTATCAATGTCCTTTTTAAACCATGGTGCCCGGAACTTAAAGAGCACTACAGATGAGGTCTGATGAGGCATGGTACAGTAGTACAAATAGGATGGTGACTTTCCTATTCCCAGATGCTATACCTCTCTTAATACAGTGTGATTGTTTTAGATTTTTGGCTACGACATCACAGTGTGGCCTCATGTTGAGCTTGAAGTCTATAAAAATCTACAAATTCTGACTGAAGTAATATGGCATCTGAAGGAAGAGATGGGAGATAGCATCTGCCAGGCAAGTCAAAACACTGTCATCACCTACAGCAACAACTCCCCTCGTACTGTAGTGGGGATTAGAGCGGGACCCTGAATACAAGAACCGTGATAGTAGCAGTTTTCCCCAAACCGCTGGCCTTGCTTCCAGCCCAGGTCCTGAAACCATCATTAAGGGGAAAAATCACTGTGGAGAAGGAGCCCAACTAACTTCCCTGCCTTCACCACCACCAACTGCTGACCAGTTGCCACTAAGGAGCAAACCCAAAAGCTCAGGAGTGGGAATATCCTTTTCTACCTATCCCCTGACCACTGATCATGCTTCCAGCCCAGCCCTCATAGCTATTATTCTTGGATGCAATCTGGCAACTTATTCTTTGAGGTCTCCCAATTTACGTCCTTAATAGCCACAGCTACTAGAGATTTGGAAAAGAAAGTTCTTGCCACCTAAATGTTTGGCACTCTCAGATGGTTCAACACCAGGAATGAATATAATTTTATCAATGCTTTGGACTTACTTTCCTTAATTGAATTGGTCTTTATAAATTCTGAGGATGTTTCTCTCAACTCCCAGTCTCATAGAGAGCTCCCTGAGCAAGGCTATGTCTTTTTTTTTTCTTTTCTAAAAGTGTGTTTTATTTTCAGTTCAGTCACAGTACTGTATAATGGCTACAGTTACAGTCCTATCTGCAGAACATTGTTAGCATTATCTTTTTGAAAACCAAATAATAAAATTAATCAAACTAGATCCCTTTGGTGGTAATAACTGCTTCTGGATTTGTTCAGCAGATCGAGTCCTTTACAAATCTTCCTTGGCTCTTAGTTCCTGTATATACCTCCATATACGAAAGAGCTGAGAGCCTCCTACGGCACCGACAAAAAAATTAACAGCAAACACACTCCAGTTTTTAGGAATAATAACAAGGAAGTATCTTGACCAAATTAACCCTGTAGCCATTAATACAGCAGACTGTACTGTGCTGAGTTTTTCTGCAGGCCGGGCCATGTCAGCCAATCCAGCACAAACCAACCCCCAATTTCATAATTGGTGCCCAGAAAAACACAGTTCTAGGACCTGCCGGGTGTTTGTAGAGGGGCCTCAGCTTTTCGGGCAGCATCAGCTCCACCTTGTCGAGCATGCGGTGGTAGGTGGCCCGCAGGCCTCGGACTCCGTGGGCGGCCTTCCTCCCGGCTGAGACTCGGTGCACCCGCTCTCCTAGACGACCAAGGGCAGCTCTTAACCTTTCCCTGCCTCAGTCACCGGCTTCCTCCGCTCCCCAAGGGTACCTTTCTTGATGAATTGCACCGCCCCCTCGTACCACGGTGCCGGCAGGACCCGAGGGCGGAGAGGAGCAGCTATGTCTCTTCTTTAGGACTCTAGGGGTATCCTTGAGGGGTTGGAAGGATGTCTTTAGAAGTGCTATTTGCTCAATCCTTCATTTTGTTTTAAACTACCGAAAATCAATCATCAGTGATCTAGTGTCATTTAACCAATTAACATCAATTACCTTTTACAAAGGGATATTCACTGAGAGCACAGTGCAGAAATAGAAGTATAAATGCTACTCATAATACCCGGGGTGGGGAGTGTATCTTCCCCTACACCCTCTTGACTTCGGGGGACAGTGGGCTGAAATTTAAAACGATTGCTAACAAGATATATATATTCCACCACGTTTACTTCTGGATATGGCATCATTAATTGATGAATTGTTGTTACTCCCTCTTGGCTGCCGTAGATCTCTACTGAGTCAATCAGGTCATGTAGATCTCAAGTCTTCATTGTCTCCACTAGCCATAAAACCTAGAATGGATTCTGCTTCCCAGATCTCTTGTGGCTTGTCATTTCAACCTTTTTTTTTTTTTTGACTTTTTTGTTGAGGTAATCAGGGTTAAGTGACTTGCCCAGGATCGCACAGCTAGTAAGTGTCAAGTGCCTAAGGCCAAATTTGAACTCAGATCCTCCTGACTCCAAGGTTGGAGCTCTATCCACTGTGCCACCTTGTTGCCCCATTTCAACCTTTCTAGGCTCATAAGCTCATAGCTATCTCCAAATCTTCAACTTAAAGCTGAAAAGAACAAACATAAAGAGGCAAATAATGGAGGTTTATATTTCATGAGCCACCTGGAGACTCCATGTGGGGAGAACCCAAGACTTTCCAGAGAATTATAGCAAGTCTCATCTTGACTAACTAGGGTCTTTGGAATGCATGATCTTTTCTGTTTTGGCAGCCAATAAAAAGGTTCATTTTATTTCACAAGGTGAGCCATCCAAAAACAATGATTGCACTGCTCAAGTCCACACAGGAATTGCATCAGGCAGAGACTGCTGCTCATGCTCGTGAGGATTGGTCTTTCATTGGCTAATAGCAGTCAGCCTTACTACAATTTTGTCAGGAGAAATGACATTGAAGAAGATGCTAAACCATCTCTTTTCGTGCTGTCTCCTAAGGACCATTGTATATTTACACATGATTAACAATCAATTCTTCTTATATGTGGAATTTTCTGTATTGGAACGTGAGCTCATGGAAAGCAGATTCTGTCTTTTTTATTTGTATTCCCAGTGCTTTGCAGTTAAGCCCTTAATAAATGCTCATTCATTCATTCTTCATTTTCTAAACAACTGCTGTCTATGTCTCCTCACCTTATAGTTATGAAGTTGTGTTTTTTTGTACTCAAATACAAGACTTTACATTTATCTCTATTGAATTTCATCTTTTATAGAATCAGTTCAGTGGATTCTGTTTTCATTTATTATCCATTTCTTTCCTTCTCTAAGATGCTCTAGAAATGATTCCTAAATAAGTTAATTCTCAACAAGAACAACAGGAAGAAATGCTCTAAAGAGGAGCCTGGGAAGCTCGTTCCTGTTTTTTAATATGTTCTTTGCACCTCTGAATTCAACTCTCTAAAAAGTGACCCTCCTGGGTCCCTGAAATATTAATTCATATATTCTTCCTACATTTCTGATTTTTCTCCTTTTATCTTTTGCTTCTTAGGCTTGTTAGCTCTTTACTGCTCTTATTGACATTTCAATGACCCTCAATGTGTGTTTTTAAAAATAAAGAATATTTAATATATCCAGATGACTAGCTCACCTCACACCAATGGCCTTGTCTAGCCCTTGTCACATAAAAACAAATATTTCATTTCCTAGTATTTTGATGCAATCTAAAAGTATTTTACTTCTGTTTGATTGGTTTACTTTTTTGGATCTTTTGAAGGAATAACTTGAATTGTTTCTTTTGTTAAATTTCCATTTATTTTCTTTGAGGCTTAGGCTCACATTTCAAGATACATTATTTTAGGATGCTGTGATAGGACCAGAACATCCCCATTTTCTCAAAAAAGGAATAGGTTTTCTTAAAAAGCAATGAAGCCGTTCTTAGGACCTAACTGATCCCTGCTCTCTTGATATAGCTTCCTGGTTACTTAAAGGAATAAGTAAGAAGTCCCTCCCATGTGTTGTGTGGGCCTCACTGACTTGGCAGATGTCTGAAGACCAATACGCTCAGACCTGCTTAATTGACAAGTTTACATACGGAGATACAGGTTGCTGAGTCTATAGAAACTAAGTGACATGGCATTTTGTTGCCTATCTTTGCTATGTTTGGCCTACATTTTCTCTTGCTAATTATTTAATTACTCCTTTTATCTCTGAATCAAACTGAAAATGACAGGGTGCTGGCCTTAGACCTGCCCCTAACATTTGGTATCTAGTAGCAACAGACCTTCTGATGGTGTATGGAAATTCCTTTCAATGGGGCAGGGAGCAGTTGCTCACTCATGCAGAGCAATTAACTCAACATATAGATTCTTTTCCCCCTAATCATCTTTGAAAATAGACTTCACGGTCATATTGCTGAGTCAAAAAATATAGGCAGTTTAGTAGCTCTTTGGGCATAATTCCAGATTGATCCAAAATGGTTGGATCAGTTCACAGTTCCACCAACAATGAATTATTGTCCCAATTTTTCCACATCCCCTCTGTTTGTCACTTTCCCTTTGAATCATTTTAGCCAGTCTTACAGGTGTAAGATGACATCTCAAGTTTGTTTTAATTTGCATTTCTCTAATCAATAATGATTTAGAGTGTTTTTTCATATGACTATAAATTATATTGATTTCTTCATCAGAAAACTGCCTATTCATATCCTTGACCATTTATCAATTGGGGAATGACTTGTATTCTTATAGACTGACAAAGTTCTTTATATTATAATTCGAGATATGAGACCTTTATCTCTTTCCCCAATGTTCTGCTTTCCTTCTGATCTTGGCTAAATTTGTTTTATTTGTATAAAACCTTTTAAATTTAATGTAACTGAAACCATCCTTCACACTGCTCTCTATTTCTTGTTCATAAATTATTCACCTATCCATAGGTCTGATGGGTAATTTGTTCCATGTTCTTCAAATTTTCTTGTAATATCTTTCTTTATATCTAGGCCATGTATTCATTTTGACCTTATTTTGGTAAGTGGTGTAAGATATTAGTCTCTGCCCAATTTCTGGCAGACTGCTTTCCACCTTTCCCAACAATTTTTTTTTTTTTACCAAATAACGCAGTCTTATCCACAAAACTTAATTCTTTACACTTGTCAAATGCAAAGTTGCTGTATTCATTTGCTGCTTCAAATTATATGTTTAGTCTCTCCTACTGATCTACCTTTCTGTTTCTTATCCAGTACCAGATAGTTTTGATAATTATTGCTTATGGCTAATCCTCCCTCCTTTACATTTTCTTCATTATTTCCTTTGATATTCTTGACTTTTTGTTCTTCCAAATGAATTGTTATTATTTTTCCTAATTCAGTAAAATACTGTTTTGGTAATTTAATTGGGATGGCATTGAATAGATAAATTAGGTTAGGTAAAAGTTTCATTTTTATTCTATTGGCCCTGCCTGCCCATGAATAATTAATATTTCTGCAATCATTGAAATCTTATTTTATTTGTATAAAAAGTTGTTTTTAATTAATTTTGTTCATATTGTTCCTGGGTTTGTTTTTGGTAGGTGTACTCCCAGGTATTTTATGCTGTCTAGAGTTATTTTAAATGAGGTATTTCCTACTATCTCTTCTCAGAGGGTTTTGTTGGTGATATGTAGGAATGCTGATGATTTATATGGATTTATTGTATATCCTACTACTTTGCTAAAATTATTAATTGTTTTAACTAACTTTTTAGTTGAGTCTTCGGGATTTTCCAAGAATATATCATATTACCTGCAAAGAGAGTTTTATTACCTCATTCCCTTTTCTGATTCCTTCTATTTCTTTTTCTTCTCTTATTGAAATTGCTGGGATTTCCTTTTTTTTTGGGGGGGTAGGCAATGGAGTTGATGACTTGCTCAGGGTCACACAGCTAGTAAATGTCAAGTGTCTGAGGCCAGATTGAAACTGAGGTCTCCTGACTCCAAGGCAGGTGCTCTATCCACTGCACCACTTAGCTGCCCCCCTATTGCTAGAATTTCCAATAAAATATTGAATAGTGCTGGTGACAGTGGGCATCCTGGTTTCAGATCTGATCTTACTGGGAAGGCTTCTAGCTTATCCCCATTACAAACAATGCTTGCTGATGATTTTAGGTAAATACTTTCTATCAATTTAAGGAAAAATCCATTTATACTTATACTTTCAAGTGTTTTTAATAGAAATGAGTGTTGTACTTTATCAAAAGCTTTTTCTACATCTTTCAATATAATCATATGATTTTTAAAACTTATACTATTGATATAATCAATTATATAGTAGTTTTCCTTATGTTAAACCATCACAGCATTTTTGGCACAAATCCCACTTGGTTGAGATATCTTTGCAATATATTGTTGTGATCTTTAAGCTGGCATTAGATTTAGAATTTTTGCCTTTATATTCTTAATGAAAGTGGTCTATAATTTTTTCTCTGCTTTTAATTTTCCTGGTTTAGAGATCAATGTCATATTTGTTTCATAAAAAGAGTTTGGTAGGATTCCTTCTTTGCCTAGTATTCCAAGCAATTTATTTAGTATTGGAATTAGTTGATCTTTAAATGTTTGATAGAATTCACTTGTGAGTTCATTTGGTCCTGGTGCCTTTTCCTTAGGAAGATCATTTATGAACTATTCAATTTCCTTTTCTAAAATAGATCTATTCAGATATTCTATTTCTTCTTCTGCTAACTTAGGCAATGTACATTTTTGTAAGTCTTCTTCCATTTCAATTAAATTGCTAAATTTATTGGCATAAAGCTCAGCAAAATAACTCCTAATTGTTTTAATTTTATCTTTGTTAGTAGCATATTCACCCTTTTCATTTTTAATAGTAGTGATTTGGTTTTCTTTCTTTTTATAAATCAAATTAACCAATGGTTTAGCTATTTTATGGTTTTTATATAAAACCAG